AAATACTCAAAATTTCAGGCCAAAACAAATTATCCAATTTTCCGATTGACGGCAAGGATACGGTAGCGGACTTGGATCGATTATTTCGAGAATTGGAGCTCGAAAAACCAGAGGGAATCCCCGAGATCTACTGCTCTATAAATGCGGGTGTGGTGGCAGAGCGGGATCCGTGCTCAGAGTGGTGGGTCACGAGGGCTTAAAACGCACGTTCAGGGAGGGGTCGTGTACTCGTCCCAACGTGTACACCCTATGGACGTAGGGACCGAGCGCACTGCCTGCCCGTGGCGTGGCAGGCAATTTCCCTCCTTTGCGGCGTGGGGCGCCCCTCGCCCCCCCCCCCTCGCCAGTTTGCAGCTGTGGCTGACTGGTATCCATCCGCGCCTCCCGAGCGGAGGGCCCGGGTTCGACCCCCGGCCGCGGCAAAAATCTTTGCTTTTTTTTCCAAAAAACGTCCCTGAACGTGCCCTTTAAGTGACATCACCCACCCCCCCCCCACCTACCGTATCTCGGCTCCCTTTTCATCTACAGGTGTGCAAAGTATACCAATTTTGGTATACTTTACACACCTTCAGCTGCAAAGGAAGCCGAGACACAAAAGTTGGGTGCCGGACGGGGGTAAACTGAACTCTAACCGTTACGGTAGATGGTCCGATGATTTTCATGTCGTAATTAGGTATGTGCCGTACTTGGCCATGGCCTCCGAGCAATTCCCGGCGTACTGTAGCGGGCCAGCGTATTTGATGTCATTTCGTGCGTTGAGGATGATTCTCGACAAAGCGGATCGACAAGTGGTCAGTTGGGAGGGGACAGGCAGGCTAGCAGCGATTATTGGGGAAGTGGAGAGACAAGCGAGCAGAGATTTTCTGAGGAGTTTGGAGGGGATAAAGGGGCATGCTAGCAGAGATTCTTTGCCGCTTTTTGCGACTTCGAAAAACCTATTTCAGCCGTTCATCGTGGAGGACGCGTTTTTCACCGGAATGCTGGCCAGGGCGGGTGAGACTTAATACAAAAATTTCTAGCTCCAAAATAGAATAATTAACTAGAGAGCAATTTAAGTGCAATAGAATAAACGCAATCACAAAAAAACGACAATTTTAGCCGGAATCCCCGTTGTCGATCGGAGCGATATTTTTGCGTCTTCTGGCTGCCGAGTCGGAATTTACGATCGGTTACGATATTTTATTAACAGGCGCTACGAGTCGGAGGTAAAAATCTTCATAAAATAAGGACTAAAAGGAAATTATTTTTTACCTGAATAACTTTAGGAATATCCGATCAGTTGTCACCGGAATGGGAGCAGAACAACGGCTATCATTAGTGCGCATAGATGCAAGGTAAGCGGGGCAGGCTAGCAGAGATTCTTTGAGGGATTGCGACAATGATGGCAGAATCTTAGAATCTTCTCTTCCCCATCTCTGGGATCGCCTCCACCAATCCCCATGTACAGTTTTTCAATAAAACTGGCAAAAAGCCAAGACATCTAAAAACACGCACTCCAAAGGACGAGCAGTCCGGCGACGACCGAGTACGCGTTGCGGAGCACGCACGTCGCGTAGCGGAACACAAAGCCGCAAACGAGAAGAGCGGCCATTCCTGGAAAAGATCTCTCTCACTCACTCTCTCTCCCCACCTCTCTCGCTCTTTCTCTGTCCCTCTCTCTCTGTCTCTCTCTCCCCACCTCTCTCGCTCTTTCTCTGTCTCTCTTTTTCCCTCTCTGTCTCTGTCTCTCTCTCGCTCTCTCTCTCGCCCTCTAGTACACCGGTCTGAAAAAACTCTACCAGATGTGGAGAGGGAGATTTGACCAAAAATGTGCAGCAAATCGATGCCACTGCCACGGCCGAGCGCGAACTCGGAGAAAGCGACGGTTGGCACGCACAGCAGGTACGAGATGACGAATGCGATCAGGAACATCACTGGAAAGGGGCAATATTTGGCTTTCCGATCCCTTTAAAGGTACCGACAAGGCATGGCAGTGGTTTTTTTTGGGTTTGGTACTGGGCTGTTAGCGGGGGGTTTGGCAGGTGGAAAACCACTTTTTGCTATAACAAACACTTTTCTAGTGCTTTTAAGAGTTTCTGCGCGCTAAAAAGTCAAAAAATATTTAAAAAGCTCCAAAATCGAAAATTTTCATCTTTTTTGGTGTTTTCCATACATTTTGACGGAATAGTCAATTTTTCCAAATTATAAAAAGGTTTCTATGCCGTTTTATCTCAAAAAACCGGGCAGAATGCCAGAAAATCGTTGATATTTTGCTATAGGGCAATAAAGAATTACTGGGAAAATTAGTTTCGGCCCAGTTTCCGCCGCCCACCCCCGTTAACATTCCAGTACCAGAAAATCCATAGCATGCTTATGCCTTGGAGGTCCCTTTAAAATTTCCCTACCAGTCCCGTGCTCGGCGCATTTCTCGGCAATCTGGAAGCTGACCGCCGTGAAGGCCGAGAGGGAGAGAAGCGCGTTTGTGGCTGAAATGAATGAGATAAGGTGGCACGATCCCTTTAAAGGGACCATGAAGCCCGAAGATCGACCCCTCCCATCGACTAGGTCTCGACAGCTACGCGGCACACCTAATGACGCGGGAAATTCTGATTATTGTACCTAAATAGCGAGTTTGCAGCTGTTCCAATTGCGATTTTAGGGGTCTTTTGGGGAGTCGCGTGTTTGTCGAGACCTAGTCGATGCAAGGGATCGATTTTCACGATTTCCGGACCCTTTGATGTATCGAAAATTCGCACCAAAATTCTGATGCTCATGCAGCGTCTCCGGGTCGCGCACCTTCGCCTTCAGCCGCAACGCGAGCGTCGGCTGCAAAAACGGGACTACAAGGGGCAGGCTACAAGCTATAAAGTCGAACAGAGATGAAGGCTAACAATCGCTCCAAATTACTTGCTGAAAGATACAAACTACAATAAAGGCCGCTGACTACACCGAGAAACAGACTACAGACTACAACCAAAATGTAAAGAATTTAACGAGAAAATCTGCAACAATATACTACACAAAACAGCGCTAGGAACAAGCTACAACAATAGGCTACAGAATACAACTAGGCGCAGCAGACTACAAAAGCTTCAGAATACAACTAGCAACTACAAATTACAACTTTAGCCTACAGACTGAACCTAGTAACTACAGACTACAAGTAGAAGCTACACGATACAACTAGAAACAACAGACTATGGGCTACGGACTATAACCAGCAACCACCGACTACGACTAGAAACAACACACGTTACTTTCTGCAAGCATGAACTACAAAGTACAGTTTACCAGCGCGTTAAATCTGCAAAATAATCTCAAAAAGTTACCAGAAAAAAGTCAAAATTTGCAATCTCGCTCGGTCGCGACATGGCGAGAAATGACAAATGGCGTGCGGTTTTCCGCGGTTTCGGGGCCAATTTTATGCAAATTATCACAAAGATAATTCTCGATTTTATATGCAATTGAATTAAAATTTAAATTTTTGTGCCCAATCTTTTTACCGTACTCAAAAAGTCTAACAAAATTTTTAACGAATTTTCATATTTAACCAGGGTTGAAAAGCCGCTTCGCGACTTTTCAACCCTGGCCCCGTCTGACCCTATATTGTCCTTCGCTTCGCATAATTCTCCTTAAATTCGGATTGCAAAAAAATGAAAAACCACCTCTCCTGTCCATTAATATAGCCGAATCCCAACTTCCGGTCTATGCTAATTATTCCTAAGAAAGAAGTTTTCACAAAAACTTAAATTTAACGTCGATAATAGGTGATTTTGTTAAATCTCATATGCGTGCAGTCATCTCCAGTCCATTACGCACCTAATGACGTATCATACATACTTCAAAACTCACCCCCTATCGAGATATGCTCCGGACAGACAGACGGAAGTGGATGCAAAGTGGCACACACACACACACACACACAGACACTATTCTTTTATATATAGTAGGATTTTTATAGTCTTATAATTTTTCTATATAATTTTTAAGTTTCCTTTTTCGAATTCCCGACAAAAAGCTGTTCCAATGCTCCGTTTCGCCCCGTTTTTAGCGTCCACCCGAGTACACATTACACCTTTTTACAGGCGCCCCCCGGGCGGCAGGCCGTCTTGGCAAACACTAGACGATTTTATGCAAATTCCACCGCACCCCAAGCATTTTCGGGGCGTATTGTCGCGGAATTTGGCGCCCCGTTCGCCGCGTCGTAAACGTACCAGCCCCACTCGTAAATTGCGAAATTATATAAGGCGAAAAATGGCAGTTCCGCGCCCCTACGAATTCCACCTTGAAAATGCGCCGAAATTCCGCGATCTTCCTAATTTGCATGTTGTCATGGGCGAGGATGGGCCAAGGATGTGGGAGTGGTAAGTTTAAGCCTTTTTTTCATACCTATTCGGGGCAGGCTGGCAGAGATTCTTTGACGAATTGGAGGGGATGGAGGGCAGGCTAGCAGAGATTTTTTGAGGAATTGGAGGGGATGGAGGGGGCAGGCTAGCAGAGATTCTTTGAGGAATTGAGGGGATGGAGGGGCAGGCTAGCAGAGATTCTTTGAGGAATTGGAGGGGATGGAGGGGCAGGCTAGCAGAGATTCTTTGAGGAATTGGAGGGGATGGAGGGGGCAGGCTAGCAGAGATTCTTTGAGGAATTGGAGGGGATGGAGGGGGCAGGCTAGCAGAGATTCTTTGAGGAATTGGAGGGGATGGAGGGGGCAGGCTAGCAGAGATTCTTTGAGGAATTGGAGGGGATGGAGGGGGCAGGCTAGCAGAGATTCTTTGAGGAATTGGAGGGGATGGAGGGGGCAGGCTAGCAGAGATTCTTTGAGGAATTGGTGGGGATGGAGGGCAGGCTAGCAGAGATTCTTTGACGAATTGGAGGGGATGGAGGGGGCAGGCTAGCAGAGATTCTTTGAGGAATTGGAGGGGATGGAGGGGGCAGGCTAGCGGAGATTCTTTGAGGAAAACAGGATTAAATTTCCAGGAAATTCGAACGAATTCGAGATCATCACGAACCCGCAGTTCACGATGCACATCAGCCCGCCCGTCGGCTGGACGTATTTCCCGACTGTTGTAAGTTATACGTCTTTTAAAAACCTTAGAAAAGCTAAGAGCCAAAATTAGAGTATACTACTAGTACTTAATTAGAGTACTACTTATCAGACAAAAAAAACGAAAAGAAGATGCGGCCGCATACAACTTTTTGCCAGGAACCAACGCAGACTTCTTTGCCCCGTTAAAACGCCGAAACCACCTTTTTTAGAGCTCCGACACGCTGGCGATTTGGTACTTTGTCGGCCAGTCGAACGACACGACGACGGCCAACACGAGGGCAACGGCTGAGATTCAAGCATCGGTGAGGGGCATCTGGTAGTTTAAAAGGATGGTTAACGTACAAAAATCTAAAATGTAAAGTGTTTACACATTTCAATTTCCATTCGAGACCAAGCCTATCTTGTGCAAATGTTTTCGCTGATTCCGAATCTGTTTTCCAAATCTACAGAGGAGTCCAATCCCACAAAATTACAGTCAATCGGCTTTTTGATGTTTTCATCATTAATTTTTGATTTTTCGGTTTTTGGAGTGTCGCGTAGTTATCTAGACCTGGACTTGGCGATATTCACGCTTTATATCCCCTTTAAAATGGTTTGTTTCAGATGATCGAAGCTCTATTGAACGCCCAGGTGCCGACCCAAGGAGTTACAATCAACGACGATTATCAGCCGATTCAGGTAGGAATTTTGAGAGCGAGAGAGAGAGAGAGAGAGAGAGAGTGAGAGACAAAACGGGAAAAGCCGAAGAGATAGATTATAAATTCCAGATCGAAAACCCGATCATGCTGACGGGTGCGGCGAAGGGGCCACTGTACGGTAAGGTGGAGGGAGGAGCCGTGACGCAGACCGCCACGGGACCCACGACAGCCCTGCCCGTGTTCACCGCCTACAACAAGCAGATGACCGTCACCCTTATGAACTTGCGGTCGACACGGTTAGTGAAAAACACTAATAATAAAAAGGAATTTTTAATAAAAAACGCTAAAATTTTCTAAAATTGAAATTTTGGTTGCCTTTTATATTTTCTGTAAAAATCTTTCTTGACCTTGATGAGGTAGTTATCTAGATATATCAACTACAAACTCCAACTTCGTTTCAGGTTCACCCTCAACATTGTGAAGAACGACTTCATCCAGCGCATGTCCACCAAGTACAACGTGAAATTTGTCGGGGATGTCATCATTACGTAATTTAGAAAGTTTTGGTTTTGATCTCGTTCTATTTTGTGGATAAATTTATGTGTAAATTGGGCACGAAAAATGTAGATCTAACATGCTAGCCTCGGTTCTCTCTCTCCCTCTCTATCTCTCTCGCTCTATCTCTCTCTCTATCTCTCTCTCTAGCTCGCTCTCTCGCTCTCTCTCTCTATCTCGCTCTCTCTTGGTCTTTTCTGTCTCTCTCATTCTTTCTCTTTCTCTCTCTCGCGCCCTGCATTTGAGAATTTAAAATCCGCTTTAACGAACAAAAACTGCTTCTGGATAGTTCCAACAACTTCCAACCGAGCAAGCTAGCAAAGATCCCTTGCGAATTCTACAAATTTCCAGGCACAGACAAGCTAGTTTAGCAGAGTTCCTTAAGGAATCTGGTCGAAAAAATCCGGAAATGCCATCGCCAAGGGCCATTCAGCCGAGATCCTGGTGGAACGTTCTCGAAAGTTCCCCCCGGCTCGGCGGCCCATATTTCCAAATGGTTGCCCAATATATGTTGTGTCCCGCTTCTCTCTCTCTCTCTCTCTCTCTCTCTCTTCCCCCAAGTGGTCACCGTCTGGCCGGGGCTTTTCGGAAAGAGCACCACCAAAACGAGGGAGCACCAGGTGACAGGAGGGCACAGAGACGTAGACTAAAATTTCTGGGTATGGAACGCGCGAACAGACGAACAGACGGATTGACGAATGGCGAGGGAGGAACTAACGGCTATCCCGAAAAACGCATGTCTAGCGCGGGGCCCGGTTTGAGGGCCGGTTTTTGGGTATTTTGCATAATCCCTGGACCGGGAACTTTTTTTTGGGTTAGGCAGAACGGGGGAGGGTGTAGTTTTTGGCATCTTTCAGTCTGTTTTTCTAGTTTTATCAGGTTGGAAAGAAAGTAATGGCACAAAATCTTTGAACCGCTGGTAAAACCCGCAGGAACGTCCGATTTGAAAGTTTGATATATGGTTTGGTAGAACTTCGGATGCTCTATCACGAGACAACCCTTAAAGCTCCCAAAAACTAACGTACGCGAAGATACAGGCCCCAGAAGTTTCGCAGAAAATTAGGTGAAAGCTTCCAAGCGATATATCTCTGCATACAGGCATTTGCATACGATATTGTTAACACCAATCGATAGCCCTCGAGGAGTAGATATCGATGGATGTTGAGATCATCAAAATCGGACACTGGCTGGCCGAGATATGGGCCTTCCAAAATCAATGCATTTTCCGGATTTTGGTTTCGGAGCTGAAGCAAACGCAGCAGTTTTTGGCTCGCGCAGGTCAAAATGTATGGGATTTCGAGAAAAGTTCTAAGAAGTGGACCAAATTTCTAGGGCCCATATCTCGGTCATCCAGTGTCCTATTTTGATGATCTCACCATCTATCTATATCTACTCTACAAGGGCTATCGATTGGTGTTAAAGGTATCGTATGCAAATGCCTGTTTGCAAAGATATCTTGCTCGGAAGCTTTCACCTAATTTCCTGCGAAACTTCGGAGGCCTGTATCTTCGCGTACGTTAGTTTTTAGGTGCTTTAAGGGTCGTCTCGTGATAGAGCACCCGAAGATCTACCAAACCATATATCAAACTTTCAAATCGGACGTTCCTGCGGGTTTTACCAGCGGTTCAGAGGTTTTGTGCCATTACTTTCTTTCCAACCTGATAGTTACCTCTCAGTCTCGCTATCTCTTGCTCATACTCTCACTCTCACTCTCTCTCACAACCCACTCGTTCAGTCTTTCTGGTTTTCTTTAGCTCTTGCTCTTTTTCTTTCTTGGCCTCGCTCTCTCTCTCTCTCCCTCTCTCTCTGTCTCTTTCGCTCTCTCTCGCTCCCTCTCCTTCTCTCGCTCTCTCCCCCCGGCCAGTTCCGCTCAACTTCGAAAGTTTTTGCAAAGTTTTTCCAGTCATTTCGACGCACTGTCTCTCTCTCTCAACCTCTCGCTCTCTCGGTTTCTCTCTGTCTATCCTCCCCTTTTTGCTCAATTCCCCATGGTTCAACTTTTCACCTGTCCTGGCAAGCTAGCAGAGATTCTTTAGGAGCGGCCGATGAGGGTCGGCTACTGTATATTCTAAGAATCTTTGCTAGCTTACCTAATATAACTCTGCACGATGTACGGTATCTATCATGTACCATGTTTTAAATCCTTTGTTGCAATTTCATGGAACAGAATTTTTCGAATATTTCTCCTAAGCTTAAAATTCAATGTTTGGGTTCAATTTCTACAGTAATTCCGGAACCGCTTCTTCAAGGTTTTCCAAGAACTGGGATTTTGATCTCCAGGGATTTATCGGGTACTGTGGTGACAAAGAAATCCAATTTCCGCCGAGGCTTTCCCACGGCCAGTAAGCGCTCAGAATTTTTGATTTAGTTTCTCGGCGGGGGCCGTGGGGGGCGAACGGCCACAAATTATGGCCTACAGATTACAAATTACGATTCGCAATTTGGTCTGCGTGAAATTGAATCAGCCGGATTACGGTAGTGATTTAATAAACCGGGTTAGCGCTATTTTTCAAAAGCTTTCTTTCGCTCTTTCACGCTCTCTCTCACACGCTCTCTCTCTCTCTCTCTCTCTCTCTCTCTCTCTCTCTCTTTCTTTTCTCTCTCTCTTCTTCTCTTTCTCTCGCTCGTTTTCTGACGCTCTCTCTCTCTCTCTCTCTCTCTCTCTCTCTCTTTCTCTATCTCTCACTTTCTATATTTCTCCGTCGCTCTCTCTTTCTCTCCCTTTCTCTCTCATGCGCTCTCTCTCTCTCTCTCGCTCTCTCTCTCTCTCTCTCGCATTTGCTCGCGAGCCTTCTGCGAGTAAAAACTTGCTTAATTTTCTTTTTTATGACCCAGCCCGTTGATTTTCTATTAAGCTGCCCTGCTGGATTATCCGGAAATTTATTCATCCTAAGAAAACATTTAAAAACAATAAGGTTTGTCATTTTTTGAGCCGGATTTCCCGCCTGGGAAGGGATTTATTTTAGCCGCGCCAATTTCCGGATTTACAGGAGCTGGGGAGACCCGGAAAATCCGGAAATAACAAGTGTTTTTCGGGGGGTGATTTCCTGACCGCGACGGGCACTTGGAGCTTGTGGTTTGGTTCGTTTAAAACTACATATTGGAGTTTTGCATCGTTGTCTAGACCTAGTCGCTCGGGGGGGTCGTTTCGCGCGTTTGCTATGTCCTTTAAAGGTTGGGAAAATCGAGAAAGAAGTTGGATTTTGCATCTTGAGTTCCTCGGACCACGAAAAACACCCCTCATTGGTCCTCAATAGTGTGCCTTGGTATGACTAAAGGAGCCTGGAAGCGCCAGAATCGCCCCCTTCCATCGACTAGGTCTCGACAGCTACGCGAGGCGTTTAGCGCGCGTTTTTGCATTTTTTAGTCTCTTTAGACAGCGCTTCGCCTGGTCTTTTGAAAAGACCCGAAAAGACTCTTTTCGAAACGGTCTTTGAAAGGTGTAATTTGGAGCGTAGCGTAGCTGTCTACGATTTTCAAAACCTCTATACTAGAGAGTTCGTAATTTTATGAAGTAGAATTTCCAAGATATCGAAAATTGGGAGTTTCGAAGTTCAAAATATCAGAATTGCAAAATTTCAAAATATCCAATTTTTACGCTCCGAAATTTAAATGTAAAAAAATCTCCCGAAATGCCGACATATTGCAATTTCGACATTATAAAATTGCGACATTCTAAATTTTAGGCCTTCTCAAATTTTGAAATGATGAGTTTCAACGTCAGGAAATTTAGGCATATAAAATTTCGTCTGGTCGTCTAGTAGTCGGCTAGTATTAACAAATCGTCTGGACCTAGTCGACCGCGCGGTTGATTTTGGCACTTCCAGGTTCCTTTAAAGGGCACGTTCAGGCACGTTTTTTTTTTGGAAAAAAGCAAAGATCTTTGCCGCGGCCGGGGGTCGAACCCGGACCCCCCGCTTGCGAGGCGCGGATGGATACCAGTCAGCCACAGCTACAACCTGGCTAGGGGGCGAGGGGCGCCCCACGCCGCAAAGGAGAGAAATTGCCTGCCACGACACTGGCAGACAGTGCGCGCGGTCCCTACGTCCATAGGGTGTACACGTTGGGACGAGTACACGGCCCTTCCCTGAACGTGCGCTTTAAAGGGCGTCTGGCAGCAAGCCCCTTTTTCCACGACTCGTGGAAGCGTCGCGGTCGGGTGCGTCGCGGCAGGGAGAGAAAGAGCGCGCCCAGAGGAGAGACGCAGACAGAACTCTGCGTCTCTGCCCGGTCCCCAAAATGCCGTAATCGGTGTGCTGCCAGAGCCGCTTTAAAGAGCCAAATATGTGTGTGTGTTGGATCGCATGTCGCACCACGATCCATAGCCCATCAAATCCATACTCAAGCCTTGTCGGTCCCTTTAAAACCCCCCTTTTTCCTACACTAAAGTATCGCCCCGACACCTTTTTGCCGCCGCAAATCCCACTCCTCCATATTTCCATTGTTGTTCCATCTTTTTTCTTCTCTAAGGAGCACTTGAAAATTGCGTCAGCGGCTGCGGCGGGCGTGCAAATGCGAATGTCTGCGAAATTCGACCCCCATCCGCTGCCACCTCGAACGGAAGTGACGCTCTTTTTTGGGAGGGTGGTTAATTTCGTGGCGTAATTCGATCCGGGTAGTTGTAGTTTAGAATTCCGACAACATGTCTGGGGTGCATTGTGGGTTTTGCACCCACCGTACCGAGAGAGAGAGCGAAAGAGAGAGCGAGAGAGAGAAAAAGAGAGGGAGAGAGCGGGAGAGTGAGAAAATGATAGAGAGGGAGAGAGACAGAGGGAGAGGGAGAGAGAGCGAGAGAGAGAGAGAAACAGAGACAAACCGAGCGCATAAATTCCCCAATGACCTCTGCTAGCGTGCCCCGTGCCATTCCCGTACCATCCAGGCTATATTTACCGGCGAATCCTTTGATCTATCACTTCACGCTTCTTAATATTTATATATTCGGCGCCTGCGTGTTCTTTGCCAGCCGGCTTGGCGCCCGTTACTTGTATAGTAGT